GCAATTAAGTGATTGAAAGCACCAATACCTCCTTTTTCTTGCATTCTTTGTAAATATCAAAATGTTCCTGACATTTACTCTTGTCCGAATTATATTCTTCTAGACCTGAAAAAGTTTACAAAAGGAATCAATATCTGGCAAAATTTTATGGAACATCCTCAATGGTTTCTTTCCGAAACTAATCATGGGTATCGTTGCACTTTCAAGTTGATTAAGTCTCTACAGTTCTAAGAGCAATGACACAGCTGAAGGAAGTTGAGGCTCCACCCCAAAACCAATTGGCAATGGGGGGAGTAGCCCAAATCCTTATAAACCCAGGCTAGGTCCCTTAACATTTCAATGTGGGACAAATACTCTCAACAACAGCCACCTCTTCATCGGCAACTCTATCCAATTTCCACCAAAAGTAACCTCTTAACTCCACAATGTAGCTTTAATTATGTGATTGCAAACTAAAACCAGATTACCACCACAAACAAAATATAAAAAAAATATGAACTTTTGAAACAAACACTACAAATTTTCAAAAACCCAACTCACAAAGCCGATACAAATACAAATTAAAGCCTTAAAACTCAAAATTAAGCATAAATTCACAAAATTAGACCCTCAAATCAGTGCCAATTAATTTTTTTATTGGGAAGGACCCTCAAAAGCGAAGATATCCGATGGTTCTTGGGGACTCATCAACAAAAATTATCAAAAAAGTTAAATGTGAAAGTAAGTCGATGCTTTTCCAATTGGATAAAGGGCTAAGATGGAGTTATTGAGTAACTATCAAAGCAGTGGATGAGCGGGGGTGGGACGATGATCAATGACTGCGTGTCCTCACTTTTATGATTAACTTCCGGTACATAATAGGTGCCAAGTATTTTATTCCAAATCACAAAGAAGGGCTGAGAGAAGTTATACTTGGTTTCATGAAGCTGATGGTGAATAGCATGGTAAGAACATGCATGTTTCAAAAATAATAGTGCTTACCAAGCTATTCACCATTAGCTTCATGTAACCAAGTATAACTTCTCTCAACGCTTCTTTGTGATTTGGGATAATATACTTGGTACCTATTATATGCCAAAAGTTGATCATAAAAGACAAGCAAAAATAACACACTCGGTCATTGATCATCGTTCCCTTCTCTGTCACAGGATAAAACTTGGAGTTTGGCTTGCTGCTGTTGTTCTAGTTCTAGAAGCGGAAGAAGTCCTTGACCCACAATGGGGCAAATGCCTCCATAGGGTGGATATCTCGTAGTTCACCATTGTATATATTGCCTTTTTCATTCTGTGCTGGAATAAAAACTGATTACTCAACCATACACATAACCATGCATTTTACCAAACTGCACCAACCAACAAATTCTGGTCTCCCTCCCTATTATCCACGACATCCTCAGGCAATCATTCCGGCATCTTGATAAAAAAATACACACACACATCATGTGACATTGGTGCGAATTTAACCGCCCACTGTTGCTGGGAATTGAACATCACATATCATATAAGGTTCTCTTTGTACCATGAGAGAGTTTGATTAAAGTCTCTGCATACTATTCGTATTGCTATGTGCAAGGAGGTGCTATTTGCACTCTCCATTAGTGTGCTGTGTGGTGCATACTATTCGTGTGACAAAATATATTGTGGACAGAACTAATATGTTTCATCACAGGAATGATATGCACTTCCTTGCGCACTTAGCACATAAATGGAGAATATAAATAACACTTTCCTGCACATAGCGCACGCCTTAATTTAATTTTTTCTCATGGTACAAGCAGAGAAGACCCTTATACACTCACAAATTGTTACAAGTCTTCACAAAGATCTATAAAAGTAGGTAGTGTGTAAACGAAAAGAGCAACACCTATTGTAAATGGTATTATTTTATTTTTATATGAATAATATGTTAGCTTGCTTATTGTTTCTTCGATGTTTGCATTTTTTGGGACAAAGATTCTCAATACTTCTTCTGGAATTTGAAATCTCATATTCATCTGAAATTTCAAATTATAGAATATGAGATTTCAAATCTCAGATGAAGAATTGGGAATCTTTGTACCAATGTTCCTATATGAGATTTATTCAAGTACACTTGCCCACTTATAAAATATGCGTTAACCAAGTACAAAATGCAAACAGCCAAAGAGAGCGGAGAGAAATTTGGAGTCCAGATCTGGCTCAATAATATGAGAATTTCATTCCAAAGACACACGCAGTAGAAGTTGGATTACTACCTTGCATTGCATCTGTGTCTGCACTTAAAAATGGTGATTCAGGACGTATTATTATGTCTTTATCCGCCAGCATTCTTTGTAGCAAGAGAGGCCTTCGAGACCATCACATAAAAAAACATTGTGCTTCCAAAGGGTGTGATCCTTCAAATACCAACCCCCTATTTACCCCAGAAACCCTGCATAACTCTAAGCCGGAAAGATTTGTCAACGGAAAAGGCATGCCAGTCCCCGCAGGCTTATATGCCCCTCATAATCTGTGTTGGACAACACTTAGATATGACAGAGCTTAAGGTGATTCTTGCTATGATTCTGTCGGAGTTTTGCTTCTCCTTGTCACCAGCATAGCAGAACTCCCCTGCTTTTAGCTTGGCTACTGTACCTCAACATGGTATTCTTGAGAGTTACTTCTTGATATGTTTGTTTCATAAACTCAAGGGCTCGGTATGTTAAATTGCTTTTGTATCTGCAAATAATGTGTCATATACTATGCTGTTAACAAATTATCCAAGCGCATTTTTTTGGCTAGATGATCGAAGCATTATTCGCAAAATACGTTCCACCGTCACTAAAAGGCAGAGGAAAAGACTTCTACGGGTCAGGAAAACAAAAGAAAGTTTTGATGTATTTGTCTTGTTCTTCATTTTGGGCTGGATTAAGTATCTGGACCAATATACATGCAAATTCAACCATCAAATTTGGCTACAACGATTACTCTTTGTCTGCATTTCATTTATTTTCTTGACATGAAGATGAGATCCGTGGAAAAGATCTACATGCTACACAATATAACCAACTTCAAAATTCCAGACTTTGAACAAGTTCTGGGGAAATCTAAGGAAAAATTGCAAGGCACAAATGTTCTTTTGAGATTTTATCTTGTTTTTTCTTTTTTTATCTTGTTTGAAAGATTAAGATAAGTTGGTAATTTTTGCTCTGGAAACTCATGAACAAAATACCAAACGTATTATGTACAGCTTAGTTTTGGGTAGACAAAGACTAACACATACAAAACCCTGTGCACTTGTCGCCATACAAAACGACTTCCAACATAGAAGAGTTGACATGGAACTGTTGTGCGCGGGGGAGAGAAGAGAAACAGAGAGGATTTCCTTGTAATTGCTCTTGTTTGGTTCTTTCTATTTGTGATGATGAAGCAAGAGACAAAGGGAAGTGGTGCCACAAATCATGTGGGAAAGCTTTGAATATTTGGGGGGCTGCTACCAGCCATTCTATATGGCTCTTTCTTTTGGCTTTTGACTACACTGTGGGACAAGACAGAGAGTGGTGGAGCTGGTGTATAATATATGAATACCACTTGAGGTGCCGTGCGCACCTAGAGCAATGAAAGTGAGTGAGAGGGCATCAATTTGGTAGTCGGCATTGTGCCTCACCATTTGGAGGTGCTGTGTGCACCATAGTGCTGAGAACTGCTGCTCTCTTTGTTGTCGCACCAGAGAGAGGAGAAACAGGGAGGATTTTCTTGTAATTGCTCTTGTTTGGTTCTTTCTATTTGTGAGCAAGAATCTGAGATTTTTTCTTGGCTCTATTGTATTTGGTGAGTGACTTTGGGTGTACTTGGGATTTGAGCTGTGAGAGTTAAACTCTGTCATTCCTAGAATAGGTGAGAGGGTTAATTCCCTTTGGTTGTAATCTCTTTCAGGATACTAGTGGAATTTCTCGCTGTCTTCGAACTGGACTTGAGCTACACACGGATATCCTTGTGTCTTTTGGATTTATGTATTTCATATCTTGCTTTTGTTGTTTCATAAGTTTCATATCCACCATCCAGTGCAATCCGCTTTCGCCGCGCAAAACAGGAACAACAAACAAACAAGGTTTGACTTCGACTCTTTGATGTTTTACACTTCAGCAACTAACGAAATCTAATAATGTATAGTAGCACAGTTTTGAGTTTTTAATATTCATGGGTAACAGCAATTCACAAACTGTCTATTTGTGGAAACAATAATAATCTCAAAATTGTGTAACTTAATCCTTGTGAACTCTTCTTGCTTGCTTCATCTAAATGTCAATGATCTCTGGTACAACGACTGCAAATGTTTAGTTATAGTTTCACTACTGAAACGATACCAGATCAGCATCGGATTGAAGTAATTTTTTTCTTTTCTACAATATTGGTGTCATGTTTTTTGCTTGGTCTCAAGCTCCGATTTGAGTTCTTTGAGCCTTGTGCGATGCATCATTATTTTCTTCCAAGCATTTTCTCACATGAACTAGGAATAAGAAAAACTACATGAAAGTGAATGCAAGATATGTTTTCTTGGTCTCTCTGATCTTATTCATCATCACATTGCCATGATCAGTAAATAAAATCTTGTTTACAAATTTGGTTCGAGAATCAAGCCAACTGAATGTGCTAACATGCTTTCTGATAAACTATTAATGTCAATATGATAGTTCTACAGCTTAGCTAAGTTGACATTCCCAATCATTTGATTGAATACTTAAATTACTGATAACAAAATTCAGATGTTTTTTAGTTTGTGTAACTTTTATCAACAAAGAGGCAGCATTCGAACTTGAAACATCTGCCAACATTAAGAATAGAATACTAATAGGCTGAAAGTTAGTTTTTGAAATTCCGGCGTATCGATAGTTTTTGCAAATTTGCAGTGATGTATGCTTAAGAGTTGACATGGTCCATGGAACCATAAGAAACAAAGGGCCGACTTTGATGGTGCACTCCAACGATTTAGCAAAAAATTCAATAATAGTCACATATTTTTGAGTTTTTGCAATAAATTGGATACTAAAAAAGAATAGACAGAAAGCAAGAGAAGCAGAGGAATTAGTAGAAAAATGGAAGCTGAGGCAGCAGCAGCAGCAAAGGTCATGTTGTCAGTACTGTTGGGTGGGTTTTTGGTCTTGTTTTTATATCTTTGTGAACTTGTGTTATTGAGGCCTAGAGGGCTAAGATCAAAGCTTGGGAAGCAAGGAATTAGAGGGCCTCCTCCTTCGTTTCTCTTAGGGAACCTCCCTGCAATAAAGAGGCTGCAAAGCAAGGGCCAGTCAACAGCAACAAAGACTGCTGATCCAACAAAACTCCATCATGATGGTGATGTAGCTTCCATTGATCATGAATGGCATTCAAAAATCTTCCCCTACATAGAGCAGTGGCGAAATGAATATGGTAGGTTCACTCTCATGCACATATAACATAATTAATTGGATTGCTCGGGGCTAGATGTGGTCCGGTTTGATTCGAGTCTCTAACTGCACACCGAACTGGTGTAACATCACAGTTCCGATTAGTTCGATTCAAGCTCAAAATAGTAGAATAATCAAACCAAACCAATCCTTTCAGTGACATGTATGCTTCATTCATATCCTTCGTATTAAATGGTCCTTGACGTTTACGAAATTATCACGAATGGTCCTTGAGGTTTTTTTGTGACACTAATAATCCTTAACGTTTGGACTTTTTATCACAAATGGTCCCTGCCGTAAAAAATTATGTTAAGTGTATGATGTGGAAGATAAGTGGAGCCCACATGTCCAATCACATCGTGACATGTGGATTAAATAAATAAATAAATATTTTTTTGATGAAAATCCATTAAAAAACCATTTAGCCTCTCTCTCTCTCTCTCTCTCTCTCTCTCTCTCTCTCTCTCTCTCTCTCTCTCTCTCTCTCTCTCTCTCTCTCTCTCTCTCTCTCTCTCTCTCTCTCTCTCTCTCTCTCTCTCTCTCTCTCTCTCTCTCTCTCTCTCTCTCTCTCTCTCTCTCTCTCTCTCTCTCTCTCTCTCTCTCTCTCTCTCTCTCTCTCTCTCTCTCTCTCTCTCTCTCTCTCTCTCTCTCTCTCTCTCTCTCTCTCTCTCTCTCTCTCTCTCTCTCTCTCTCTCTCTCTCTCTCTCTCTCTCTCTCTCTCTCTCTCTCTCTCTCTCTCTCTCTCTCTCTCTCTCTCTCTCTCTCTCTCTCTCTCTCTCTCTCTCTCTCTCTCTCTCTCTCTCTCTCTCTCTCTCTCTCTCTCTCTCTCTCTCTCTCTCTCTCTCTCTCTCTCTCTCTCTCTCTCTCTCTCTCTCTCTCTCTCTCTCTCTCTCTCTCTCTCTCTCTCTCTCTCTCTCTCTCTCTCTCTCTCTCTATGTGGGTCGCTGAGAGAATAAGAAACTGTTCTCGGAGCTTGTCATGTGCTTCTTCTAGATGTCTGAACTGCTCCTTCTTCCATTTTAGCTAATCTTGAACCTTCTGATTGTCCTCCTCTAGTTTGAGTATCACATCATCTCTCTCTCTTAGTTCTTTGGGTGCATTAGCTTTCTTCTCTGCTTCAGAAAATTTCTTCTGTGAAACTGATAGACGGCCTTTAAGGCCTTCAATCTCTTCTCTATATGCACGGTTTGTTTTCTCCTGATCCATTTTCTTCTCATTTGCTTCAATTTCTCTACAATTCATCCCAGGCTTTTCTTGGTCTTTGTCTATTTGAAGAGGATGATGAACTTAAGCTTGAACTTGGTCTTCGGGATTGAAAAACTTGAAGAGTAGAGAGAGAGAGAGAGAGAGAGGCTAAATGGTTTTTT